TTTTGGGTCCTCCTTTTCCTCCACACCACACGGCTCACTCCGCCAGCCATGCCAGAAAAACCATTAAAGGTGCTCCAAAGAACCATTTCTTGATGGTTCTTCAAAGAACCATTGTTTGAAAGGTTCTTTGTGGCACCAAAAAGGTTCTTCTATGGCATCAGTTTAAAGAACCACTTTTGGTTCCAGTTGGCACCTTTATTTTTCTGAGTGCACCCACCCAGCTGTATAGAAACTCCGTCATGCTAGCTAGCACGCAGTACGAGTTATTGTAACTGATGGTAAAAAGTCAGCATAACGGAAATAAATTACACCTAAACTTGGTTTATATCTGACTCAGATACACTGCAGGTCATAACTTCTTACCTGAAGTTCAGTTCACCTGACACTCGGACCGCCTCGGGTCTCTCCTCCTCCTGCCTCACCTTTCCATCATCCACCTGCTGGCCTCCACCACTTGCTAATGTTACTGAATCTGTGGAAGCTCCGCCATAGCCACCACCAAACAACTGAGTTATTTTTACACATCGGCCAGCATCTGGCCAATCCACCACCTTTCATTGTTTATGCCGTTACAACAAAAAAAAATCATAGGCCCATAAAAACGAAAAATCACCATCGGCCCACCAGGCAAGTATGCCTGATGGCCAGTCCAGCTATGCTTGCAACCCTGAACTTATTGTCTAATAAAGGAGACATGGAAATAGCTTTAGTTTGTTGTAGATCAAAGTGGAATTAATTTGATTGATTTAATAGGTATTCTTGGTGGGAATCCTGTATTCTAGTAGATACAGTCCCAGCAGCAGGAGATTGGAATCGAGCATAATGACATTTTCTAAATGATCAAATTAAAATGCAGACATTACCGTAGCACTGCAATGCAGAGTTTGCACTTCAGTGGTTTCAGGTACGGCAAACCTACACACATAAAATCTATCTCCTCAGCGCAGGACTGGTCTGGCACAAATAAATCGGGCCTGGCATTTTTGGTCCAGGCGACCAATCATGATCACTCACAAAAATGCATCAAAAATAAATCTATGTTGATTATGTACATAATTCATTGATATTGAGAGACTTTCTTTGTAATTGGTCCAGTTGTTGGTTGGCTCTTAGTTTCACTGCCCTGCAGCATATGACACTAAAAAGCTACACTTTAACTATTAGGTGTGGCTCATGATCAAAGCATCCATGCATTTTACCTGAATCCTTGAGTCCCTCTATCAATTTGGTTACCACGTTGATTACACCTTCCTCTGTCGCTCTGTGAGGCCTGGTTTCTAGTTGTTACTGGTAATATAGTTCACGATGCAGCAGATATTCTACATGTCGGTTAATTTGACACGTTTTCCTGCATTTATTTTTAGTTTCTATTTCTCTTTCAGCGTTTTAGCTCCACATTTTCGCCACTTCTTCCACACTAAACTCAGTTTTACAAGATGCGTAAGGGCACAGCGAAGGTACGGGAGAGACCAGTTGCCCTGAGAGATTTGATTGGGCAATCCAGTGTCGGTAATGAAAATAAACCAATGGGCTGTGTGTAGCACTGTATGTACTAATATTCTATAAAGCACTAGCACGTTGCTAGTTGCTACGATCAGTAAAACATGGCACTTCCAGACATAACATAATGTAGTCCCAAACGTTTTATTTTTATTCTTCCAGTTGCGGAGTTAATGCTGTTGAATTAAAAAGACGATTACATTTAATAACATAAGCTTAATCTATGTATGATTTTGATTTGTTTGATTTTATAAGTTCAGCAAGGATTCTGTCCTATGTTAGAATATATTGGCGTCTATAGAATAACAATACTGTTGAAAAACTGCTTTCTACAGAAAAAAATCAAGCAGTAAAGCTGCACCTGATGCTCTCTGCATAGTACCATCGAGGAAATACAAAGACTTCAGACACTACTGATCGCTTTGCTTTTCCGGGAGAAGTCCAAGGAATCTTCCAGTGGTCACACCACTTTCTGGAGACCTGATTGGTTAGTAAGTGGTGATTTTATACCTGGTAATCTCTAATCAAATCAAATCAAATCACTTTTATTGTCACATCACATGTGCAGGTACATTGGTACAGTACATGTGAGTGAAATTCTTGTGTGCGAGCTTCACAAGCAACAGAGTTGTGCAAATACAATAACATAAACAAGCAAAATACAAGAATGGCTACATCTGAAACTAATAAATATATGTACAATATATAATAGTATATGCATTCCTGGATGTGTATACTAAATATTTTTCTACGTGTGTGTGTGTGTGTGTACACACATATTTTACAAGTTAAATAGAGTAAACAATAAATAAAATATATAAAAATATACAGAGTTGAGACATGTGCAAAACAGTGGCATTACTGTACAGTATGGAGTGCATAATGTTGAAGTTCCAGTAGTGAAGCTGAGGTGTCTATGAGGTGTTCAGCAGTCTGATGGCCTGATGGAAAAAGCTGTCTCTCAGTTTGCTGGTACGGGACCGGATGCTGCAGAACCTCCTTCCTGATGGAAGTAGTCTGAACAGTTTATGGCTGGGGTGACTGGAGTCCTTGATGATCCACCCCGCTTTCCTCAGGCAGCGCTTCCTGTAGATGTCTTGGAGGGAGGGAAGCTCACCTCCAATTATCCGTTCAGAGCACCGCACTACTCGCTGGAGAGCTTTGCAGTTGTAGGCGGTGCTGTTGCCATACCAGGTGGTGATGCATCCAGTGAGGATGCTCTCAATGGCACAGTGATAGAAGGTCCTGAGGATGCGGGGGCTCATGCCAAATCTTTTCAGTCTCCTGAGAAAGAAGAGGCGCTGCTGCGCCTTCTTCACTGTTTTGTTTGTGTGTACTGACCACGTAAGATCCTCAGTCAGATGTACACCAAGGAACCGGAAGCTGCTCACTCTCTCCACAGCAGCGCCGTTGATGGTGATGGGGGTGTGTACTTCTCTGCACCTCCGGAAGTCCACTATCAACTCCTTTGTCTTGCGACGTTGAGGGTGAGATGGTTGACTTGACACCAGTGGGTCAGGGCGCTGACCTCCTCCCTGTAAGCCGTCTCATCACCATTGGTGATAAGACCCACCACTGTAGTGTCGTCCGCAAACTTCACAATGATGTTGGAGTTGTTAGTGGCTGTGCAGTTGTAGGTGTAGAGTGAGTATAGGAGAGGGCTCAGTACACACCCCTGTGGAGCACCAGTGTTCAGTGTGATGGGGGATGAGGTGATGCTGCCCAGTCTGACCACTTGGCGTCTGTCAGACAGGAAGCTAAGGATCCAGCTGCAGAAGGAGCTGCTCAGTCCTAGATCCTGCAGTTTCCTGTCCAGCTTCGAGGGAACGATGGTATTGAATGCTGAGCTGTAATCTACAAACAGCATTCTCACATACGTGTCTCTCTTCTCCAGGTGTCATTTGATGACATAAGGACAAAAACTATGTTCCACGTCCAGTTACATTTGTTTTTGTGCTTCGTGTTCCCTCCCTAGTCTGCGTCTTTGAGAACTGTCTCATGTTTCCTGATTTACTTTGGTAGTTCTTGTCCTATGCGCGTTACTGCCCAGTAACGTTACTGCCCAGTAACGTTACTGCGTTACTTGTAACGCATTACTGTAATCTGATTACTTTTTTCAGGTAACGAGTAAAGTAAGGGATTACTATTGCAAAAACGGTAATTATATTACTGTTACTTTCCCGTAGGAATGCTGAGTTACTGCGTTACTAAAACCATGATTTTTTTGCGAGAATGTCTCATGACAGTGACATAAGCGAGTGCGACATTCTTGACAACAGCTGTGTGCAGATCAACAATGGATCGAGTGCGGGAGAGAGTATGAGCGTGCAGCGTCTAAAGCGTGGAAGTACTGGCCTTACTTACTGAGTTTGATTACATAAAAAGTGACAAAAACATTAGCGTTCATTGTGCATCGGAAGAAAACTTTTTACAGCGAAAAAACCCCCTAAACTTCCAAGCAAGCACCAGGAGTGCGCTACCACGTAATGGGAAACTCACAGAGAAACTCGCAGATTCTTCAACTGACCGCTGCGGCACACCTGCACCAGGGCAAACCTCCGCCTACGCCACTCCTGCTTTACAGGTGAAAATAGAGCAAAAGGACTGCTAGTCTTTGATTTTATTTATTTTCTGCTGTGTTTTGCACAGCAGAAAATAAATAATAACTCTTTCAAATAATTTTGCATCTATTTGAAAGAGTGAGTGTAAACACAAAAAAATATATATATATTTTATGTGCTGGAATGTGCAGAAAATAAGTTTAAATGTTAAACAAATTTCTTCCAGTCGGAGAATGTTGCATATAATTATGTTTTTGCTTGATGCATAAAGTTAAAAGGTTAAAACTAATAAAACAAGTTTTAAAAAGAGACTTTTCCATTTGATTACATTTTGTATGATGGATTATGCAGAAAAAGTAGAATTGGGCTGAAAGATCTATTGCTTTATCACCTGTTCAGGTTGTAAATCGTGTTTTTTAAAAGTAACTAAGCAACTAATTACTTTTGGAAATAAGTAATCAGTAAAGTAACGGGATTACTTTTTTGGGGGAAGTAATCGGTAATTAGTTACTGATTACTTTTTTCAAGTAACTTGACCAACACTGGTCCTATGTTAATGTTTTCAGTTTTGCTTCAATTTGGTCTCATCATGGTCGTCCGCCCGCCTAAAAAAAAGTCCAAACAGCCTGTGACATTTTCTCCCAGTACTGACAGCTGTATTAGTTTAACAGCAAGTAAAGAGGCCTAAAGTGATACGTTTTGAATTGTGACAGAAAATGGGAGCCAGAGTCTGTCGCGGTTTTAAATTCACTACCGGATGCACTCGGCTCTTCTTGAAAGGGATGTGACGCAATAAAAAACCGCAACATGTACGACAGATCCACACTCGCGGATGAGGCCTGTGCGCGCGCGTGTGGAACCGTAATGGCCGCCGTGCAGCTCAGTTGCGCTGTTTGTTTTGCTTCATTGGCTCAACCCTCCGGGGGGCGGGGCCGCTGCGGGGCTAAAGTCACGTGATCTAGGCAAAGCCAAACTGACCAATTCCAATATGGTGGCCAGCCTAGCAGGTCTACGGTTCCTGTTGATGGTAGTGTTGTTCTGCGGAATCAGGTACGGCGCCTGCAGCCAGAAAGCTCCGCAGGTTTTGGGGCTGCGGCTGGAAGAACCAGTGGATCCGCTGTGCATGAAGGGTCGTATCATTTCAGCACCAAAAGGAGCCACGTTTAAGCTCCGTGTCTTCGGGTTTAATCTGAATGGAAGCTTGCCATGGGTCGCGTTCGCAGGAGCAGCTGGCGGAGCGGCTGGGGCTGTCGGTGATACACCGGACCCTTGCGAGGAGCAGTTCAACCGCCAGGACTCCAAGTTAAAGGTGACCAATTTAGAACTCGACGATGCGCACAGCGTGCTTCTAACTGTGGAGGTTAGCACCTCTGAGGGGGAAGCTGGCAACGAGCAGACCTACTACCACCTGTGTGTGCGGAGTGGAGAGACATGGACATCTGCGGGCCTGGACAGACTGCGAATAAACACTGACACGGATCTGCCAGCAGACTACATCCCGCCGTGGGGTCTGGCCGTACTGATAGTGCTTGTGCTTATGATCTGCGGATTGCTGAGGACGGTGAACTTGAGCCTTTTGTGGCTGGACCCAGTCGAGCTTTATGTCCTACACAGCTGTGGATCCGAGGAGGAGAAACGAGCCGCCAAACGGCTGGAGCCGATCAGGAGAAGGGGGAACTTCATGGTGAGTTTCTAAAAGCACGTGGGGAAGCCACAGGGAAAGAAAGGTGCAAATGAAGTAGTGTTTTCTAAACGCATGTCTTTTCCACCGCAGGCATGTTCTTTGTTGTTCCTGTGTGCTCTGGGGCATTCTGTCCTCGGTGTGCTCCTGTACCGGGCACTGGGCTCCATCGTCTCTGCTGTGTTCAACAGCGGCTTCCTTATCTTCTTCCTAGCTGAGCTGGCTCCTCACATCTTGTGCTCAGGTTACGGCTTCCAGCTGGCGCCTGGTCTGACCTGGCTGGCCCAGGTTTGCATGGTGCTTACCTGCCCCCTGTCTTGCCCTCTGGGCCTGATTCTGGATCTGGGGCTGAGGAGAGACATCAGTACCTGTGGGATAAGGGAGAGGGCCATGGAGATGGTACGGGCAAACGTGAATGATCCTTACAGGTAAATATAGTGGACTTGGGAGAGTATCACAGAGATCTGACATAGAGGTGCGATGAGTATTGACACTTGGTTTAAAAAAAAAAACCCTGATCTGTTTGTTTGTTTGTTTGTTTGTTTGTTTGTTTTTTAAGAAAGAAAAAAACACATGATGCTTCTGAACATACAGAGTAAACAGAACTAGAAAAAAAGATACTATAGGACATAACCAACAAAAAGTGTGTTCTGTCATACTCTACAGTGCATAATTCTTATGGTACATTATGTTAGATTCACTGACATACAGGAACAATTTAGTGTTCCAGACACAGACTCTTTGCTAAGTTTGAGTTTAATATTTGATTAAAATGTCTGACACATTAAGATGCTTTGATTCATGATTAATGCCAGACATCCCAGTTTACTTTAACAGAAGCATTTGGTGTGATTTTGGCCAGTGCTTTCTTGTACTGTTTGCATAACCAATGACTAACAGGAACATCATTCGTAGAAACTTGAAATGTAACTTGAACCCGAAAGACTTGACTTTTAGGAGTTGTCTTTGTTTAGATCTCCAAACACTTGATATTCTAGTTGGATTAGTCCAAAAAAATTTGAGATTATTCTGAGGGTGGACTTCTTTTTAAAGACTTCACAATTGTTATATTCTTCTTAACACTTGCCCATGAAAGACCTGAAACTTGACTCACACGTGATCTGAAAGTCTTGAGAGTATTTTGAAATTTAGATTTGTTTTTTTTTGTTTTTTTTTAAACAGACTTCACATTTGACCCCATAGTAGCCTTGTAATGATTTGAAACATGACCTGGCCTAACACTGTAAAAATTTGATGCTTGAACCAGATTAAGTCTCAAGACTCAGTTTACCATGTGTGTATTGGTCTAACTGTATTAACACCTTAGACAGATTAAGTATTGAGACTGGACTCAGACTCATTTTCAAAAGATTTAAGACTCGACTTGAACTTGGTTCAATAGACTTTTTAGGACTAATCTGCATTAAATTTGTAGGATTTGAGACCTGACTTGAAGTTGGTTCTTAAAGATTGGCCTAGAAGATTTGATAATTGACTTGATTGTTGACTCAGTTTTCTTCATTATGTTTGTAGTGAGTTTGTAAAGGAGGAGTTCAGTCGTGGGACATTGCGCATTAAGACCGTGGAGGACATCTTGACACCTCTGAAAGACTGCTTCATGCTGCCTAGCTCGGCTGTCCTAGACTTCTCCACTATGTCTGAGATCATGCAGAGTGGTTACACCCGTGTGCCCATTTATGAGGAAGAGAGGTGGGATCAGCAACACAACACTCACTTAATAGCTTAACAAAAACATGGCTTAAAAACTTGACATGGCAGCATTCGCCTCATCTGAACAGAGTATCTGTAGAATTGGCAGCTTTGAATTAGGCTTCTTGGTATAACGTTGAATAAATGTAAATCCTTGGATTCACTCATTTAAAAATGTCTATTCCTTGAAACCACCATGACAAAAAAGACAACAGCACAAGTGTATATTTTCTTATAATCTAGCACATGCAAAATATTCTTAATAATAACCAGAGTATGTGTGTCCAGGCCTTTTATAACTTCAACATTTTTACCAAAGAATGAATATAATGGTAGCCATAAGAGTGCAATGGAAAGGTCTTTGGGAGTTATTCACATATTCATACCAATCATAAGCCTTTGTTTGATTTCCTTCAGGTCTAACATTGTGGAAATCCTTTATGTGAAAGACTTGGCTCTGGTTGATCCAGAAGACTGCACCCCAATGACGACTATCACCAAGTTCTACAATCACCCTCTGCACTTTGTGTTCAATGATACCAAACTAGATGCCATGTTGGAGGAATTCAAAAAAGGTTGGCTGCTGTTTGATTTGTGGGAATGGTTGGAATCATAGAAAATTATAGAGTTGCCATGCTGCAAGCTTTTCACCTTTTTTATTTACATTTATTTTTATTTTGGAGCTTTCATTTTGCTCATATCCTGAATTATTAAAAGTCTCAAGTCTCATGACGCCTGATACATGCTTTGATCAAATCTTTAAAGTATTAGAGAGAGAAACTCGAAACAGTTAGACAGTCCCTTATGAGTTGGCCCCCTTTCAACAACAAGAGACAGAGGCAGAACCAGGCTGACTGCTGTGATCCTGAAGCTAATAAGCCTTGATAGATAAGTATATAATGTCATCCTTTTGAGAAGTGATATAAATAAAGTATATAAATAAAGCCAGAGTAGCCTATATATTTTATATTTTTATTGACCTTTAACAAATGTATACTAAAGTACAATTAATTAGCTGTTGGTAGCTCTTATTGCAAAAGAATATGCTTGTACAGACAATCTTGAGAATAGCAGAGAATGCCAGCTAATCCCACTTCAGATTAGCTGATGATGATGATGATGATGATTCAACTGATTCCGTTTTACACATTTTATTAGTAAATCTCATATAGGGCACTATTTGAGTGGCTTCAGTGTGTCTGTTATGCATCTGTAAACTGCCTTACAACCCATCTCAACCCAAGATCCTGCTTTTTGTACTGTATCTGACTTCATTAATTAAATATTTATCATCATTGACGCCTGCCCTGAACTTTAATTTGATTTTTCTATAGAAGGTAAAGAGGTGCCAGAACTGCTATACTGCCAACTCTAAATTAGTGCAGGCCTGTCCTGACTAATGTAGTCCACACAGAATATCACTGGCATGTTGTGAATTTAATAGATGCTTATTTCTGTGATTTCTAAGAAGTTTGTACTGGAAACGACTTAAACAGTAAGTTTATCACACTGAATCTAAAGAAAATCACTTGTGTGAGTTATGACTTTGTAGCCCTCCTTCCTGTTATGTCTCCTTTATAATTCAGAGTTACTCTTTTTACTCCAAGTACCTTTTTCCTCACTATAATTTGCCATTAACCTTTATCCTTTAATCAGGCAACTCTCACATGGCCATCGTCCAGAAGGTGAACAATGAGGGAGAGGGAGATCCTTTCTATGAGGTGCTGGGTTTGGTCACTTTAGAAGATGTCATAGAGGAGATCATCAAGTCAGAGATCCTGGATGAATCTGATGGCTACTGTGAGTGTCTTTTGGAATATTGGCTTCTTTGCTTCTTTTATTGTTATTTATTGTTATTATTGACTCCCCTTGCAGTAGACAGGAAAGTAAAGCGTCCCCTCACTCCACTGGAGATTCCTCTGGAGCCTCGCAGCACCCATGAGGAGTTTTCTCTTTTCAAGCCTCCTGAAGGAGAACCCAAGATCCGAACTTCACCACAACTCCTGCTAGCCACACACCGCTTCCTGTCCAGAGGTATGTGATTATGTGTGTTTATCTGTAAATCTCTACTGACCGAAGCTAGCACATGAATAAAATAGTCACAGTTTAACACAGCACATGTAATGATTATGCCACGGACCTGGTCAACCAAGCAGTAACTGGTTAAAGGGGAGTTGAGACCAGTCTCTGACTTTGACATTTTCCCTTACAGGAAATGTGTAAATGTATAATGTGTAAAGATGTGTTTGTATTTAAATGTCAGAACAACAAAGTAAAGTTTTAGGTCAAACATCTCAAAGAAAAGAAAAGGAAAACAGCAACAATAATTTTCTGCACAATGTCTTCAGCATGAATCAACATCAACAACACCAGATTTACTAACAGGGACAAATTCCGCAATTACAAAAATATGCACATGACAGTGAAAGGCTTGCTAATGATATCCTTACTGACTTGGCTACAGCAGTTCATTTTAATAATAACCAGCATTGTACCATAAGGTTGGAGTATGATCTAATAACCAAATGACCACATTGTGTAGGTTGTGTAAAATCTTGTGTTAGGAATTGCTGGAGTCTGTGTGTGGATAAATGTGCGTGATGTCCAGATAAACCGCATAGCGTGAGTGGAGTGTAGGATTCATTTGGATAGGCTGTCCTATTACGAAATATTCCACTGTATAAATCTGAAATATCTTTTTGTCTGTAAAAGGCACAAAGTGTATGTTCTCAACAGCAGGTTTAATGTGTCTTTGTCCAAATTTGTTGACCCAGATTTCGCTTTCTGCAAACTAGTTTCCTTTTTCCAGAGAGTTAACCCTGGATCATTTATCATGCTTATTGACTCAATGAAGCTAATTTGCTTGTTGCCATATTTCTCTCATACTGTACTATGGAGAATAAAATGTAATAGTTTTACATTTGACTGTTTTCTCAATTTTGTAAGACAAAAACCATGGTTCACATTGCCACTTATTCATATTTAAATTTTAAATGGGCCTCTGCTCTTTATTTACCCAAATACTTGTAGGTATCAGTTGATGATGGGGGTTGCCCATTTTTCCCATTTTCCCAAAACATGTTCACCCTTTAAAGGATTTTGCTTCTCAGATTGTATTAACGCAGAGGTTAGGTTACACCATAGTTACACTACACTAGCTTTTTGACATTACAAAAAACAACAACTTTAAGAAGCTTTGGGGCTCCGACTCTATTATTTAGCAATACGTGCAGTATCACAGCTGTCTAGAAAGTGGTGCATAGTCAAGTAATGTCTAACTAATTTTAGAAAGTTTAATGCAGTGACCCCACCAATATACACTGTATTGACAAAAGCATTCACTCGTCTGCCTTCACACCATTATCAACTGTGTGACATCTAGGGCTGCCACAAACGATTATTTTGATAGTCGACTAGTCACCGATTATTTTTGTGATTAGTCGACTAATCAGATCATCATCCATTGGACGTACAGCTTATTGCACCAGCAGCATCTGGTCTTGTATAACTATCATTAGCTTACAGCTTGAAGTGTTTGTGCTAACTAAAAATAAAGACAAGATGGTAGTTTATTAATTTTTAATGAAATTTGCAGATTGTTTCGGTGAAGTTTAATAAACTCCTTGCTTTCTAAAATATAACAGGACACCGGAGTATATTCTCCAGCGTCTCACACTTCTGATAATCAGCTGTATGCTTGACAGTTTTAGCTGTGCAAAAACTATAACTTTAATCTCAGCCAAACCGATTTACTCAGGAACAAATAAAATACTAAAGAAAGCCAAACAATAACATTTTTAAGTTATCTAAGTGACTTATATATATGTTTAACCTGACTAGCAAAAGACGGCGGTGGGTTTGAAAACGATTTGCCGGGAGTCCGGTGTTCTCACGGCTCTAGTTAGCCTTGCCCCCGCCTAGCTAACGAGCTAGTGGGTAACAGACGTCTCCGAAAACGTCGGAGCGCTTTTGAAAATATGTGGTGTCTTGATAAACTGAGCAGATATTTGAGGTTTACACAGCTACATTCTCGCCTGAAAATATGTTAAACGTTTATTTTGTGACCCAGAAAGAATAATAAGAGTAAAGTTAAAACTAACTAGCTGCCGCCATTGTTGACAACTGCGCTGGGCTGCGCTATGAATTCTGGGACACAGCTTCTTCTTCTTCGGGGTTTAACGGCAGCTGGCATCCTTGTACATGCAGTGCTGCCATCTTCTGTTTCAGTCCGTTATTACACTCTTAAATCCTACTACTCATTCCTGCGTCCTTTGTGATCTTACAAAGCTTCAAACGATGCGTCGACTATTAAATTAGTCGTCGACGATTTTAATAGTCGACATAATCGTGACTAGTCGACTAATCGTGGCAGCCCTAGTGACATCCCATTCTAAGCCAGAGGGTTTAAAATGATGTGGGCTCAGCCTTTGCAGCTATAACAGCTTCAAATCCTCAGTCTTCATGGCAGATTCACCAAGGTTTGTAAACATTTTTTAAGAGGTTTTGATTAATGTTGACATGTTACCATTTGATTTGTCCACTGCACATCTGTGATCCTCAAAAGATCTGGTAATTGTGGCAGCTATTTGAGTATGGCCAACTTATCGTCATGGCACCCGCTGTGCTCTTTTCCTGGTGCAGCCCGTCTGCTTGAAAGTTTGATGTGTTGTGCATTCAGACATGCTCTTCTGCATACCTTTGTTCCAGTGAGTGCTTATTTGAGTTACTGTTGTTTTATTATTAACTTGAGGTAGTCTGACCATTTTGCTCTGTCATCAACATGGTCTTATCACCCAAAAAAACGCTTCCATCTGGACATCTCTTGTTTTCGAACAATTCTCTGTGAACCTTAGAGGTGATTGTGAGAGGAAAAACACAGTATAGCTGCAGTTTCTGAAATATCCAGCCCAGCCTATTTGGCACCAACAACTATTCAAAGTCACTTAATTTAGTTTTCTTCTCGATTCGGATGCTCTGTTTTTACTGTACAAGTCATCTTGATCATGTGAACATGCTTAAATGTGTTGAGTTGGTGTAATGTAAAAAGCTGACTAGACATTTGTGTTTAAGTAGCTGAACAGGTGTACCTAATAAAATGTTCAGCCAGTGTACTTAAAGATGCTAGAGGAAACCTTCCAGACTACTTATTTCAGTTATTCAAATAGTGTCAGTTCACAACCAGTCATTTCAAACCACTTTAGATTGTAAGGTCAAGACTACAGTATTATTGAGCAAACACCAACAATCATAGACTATTCCCTGTAAGCGGCTCCTTGAGTTGATGGGAAGGAAGAACTCCCTTTAAACATGAAGCTACGCTGCATATGAGTCATGACTACGTTTAAGTCATAACCCTTCCTCATATTATTATTGCCTTGGTAAGCACAGCAAAAATGATTAGAGTGACCCTAACAACTAATAGTAGATTAATTAGTTCTCACCTTTATCTTTCCTCTGTCTGAAAACAGGCTTGTATATCATGACTCAACTCTGGACCTAAGGTCCAGTATTGATGTCTTTGGCAAAAGCTACTGAAGCATTCAAAGAATTGAGCCTCGACTGGTCACAGCTAGTAACACCACTTTATTGTTGTGTAAAGCACTTTGAGTGCTCAGAGTAGAAAAGCGCTATATAAGAACCAGTCCATTTACAGCCAATATTCAACAAATTTCATTGCGTCCAGTGGTAGAGAAAAGTGTTCAGATCCTATACTTAAGTAAAAGTACAAACACCATACAGAAAAAAGTACTTGGGGTAAAAGCTCTGGGTCCCCTTTAGGTAAGTGTCCACCTGACAGGTCATTTCAAATTATCCATTGACTTTCTATGGGAGGTGCGGTTGCAGTCACTGTAGGTCCCATGATGTGAAAGAATAGAATCTATTGTTAACCCAAAATATGACATGGTTAAAACGATATTTCCATCTATTAATAAACATTACGTGGAAGGCACAAGGAAGAAATCACACACTTCCTCGTAAATGCTGCCTCATCATAGGACCGATTCATAATCAACAACAAATATGACACATTTTGAGTCAGTCCAGTATGACAGAGAGGAGCTGAGGTGGATATGGGTTGCAAAGTTTGCAGATAGCCTGCCTAAAGCTGCAGGATAACTTTAAAGCAATACCTGTCATTAGGTTTACCATCTAAATCCATAGATGGTGAGGCATGACTTTAAAATCAAGTGATTTGTCCTAGCTTGACTTTGTGGCATGCTTGAGCTAATGTACTGCTTGATTTGGTAAAACAGAAAAAACTGTAAACTGCAAAATGGTAAAGGTAGAAGGAAAACGGAAATCGTCAAGTGCCTTAAACTTGTGTAAATGCATTTATTGTCCAGACAATGAGTTCACTTGTCCTATTTGACCTTTGGCCTCTGTAGAAGTGGAACACTTCAGCCCAGCACGTGTATCTGAGAAGGTCCTGTTCCACCTGCTCCGTCACCCCAGTGTCAACCAGGAAGTGCACTTTGACCCTAACAACCGTCTGAGCCCAGCACACTATCTTTACACCCGCAACCACCCAGTGGACTATTTCATCCTTCTGCTGCAGGTATTTGCTCATATACCCACACTTTTAAAAACTTTTAGCAAAACCAAATTTTGTCTGACAGGAACAAATATATGCTTGAACGTTTATACCACAGAAGATTCAACTTCAAAGTTAAACTGGTAGCTTAAGTCAGTCTGTAAAGTGAATTCAAAGAATAGCTTAATATCTTTATTTTTTTGCTTTCTTGCTTGAAGTAGAGAGAAGATTGACACCAGTTTTACACATGTACATCTATTGCCCTGTACTAAATGTGAGGATTCAGTATAACAGTTTAAAACTGGGGAACCAAGAGATCGTTTCCACATTTTACCAAAATACTTCTTATAATATCATGCATATTTTTCTTGTTTCCTTTGGATATAATTATTATTACCTTTTAGAACATTTTAGACCATGTTTGTCATTTATTTATTTATGTGTGTGTGTGTGTGTGTATAGATATATATGTGTGTATAGATATATATAGATATAGTCAATCCTTCAAGCTCGGGTCCTCTACCAGAGGCCTGGGAGCTTGAGGGTCCTGTGCAGTATCTTAGCTGTTCCTAGGACTGCGCTCTTCTGGACAGAGATCTCCGCTATTGTTCCCGGGATCTGCTGGAGCCACTCACCTAGCTTGGGAGTCACTGCACCTAGTGCTCCGATTACCACTGGGACCACCATGACCTTCACCCTCCACATGTTCTCGAGCTCTTGAACCGTTCGATACAGTGCTTTCGGTTCGGTACGCATATGTATCGAACAATACAAAATTTTTAATTTATTTTATCAACTTTCCTTCTGACGATGCTGTCTGTGTTGAGCGCTCAGTGGATCTGCGCTCGAAGGTGCAGCCTAGGCGGAGTAGTCGAACGCAGATTCACTGAGTGCAGGGCAAGCTAGCGAGACAGAAGTTAAGCTCTGGTTGCAACATGGCAAATTGAACCTCCCCCACCCTCATTCAGATGTGGCGTTTGGAACTATTTTGGTTTTCATGTGACGTATGACCCTGAAGGTAAGCGCGTCATGGACTAATGTAAAACAGTATGTTGGATGTGCCACGCAATGCTCAATTACATGGGTGGGAACTAGTGTGTTAACGCAGTTAGCTCGTTAATGTGTTGACGCCGTCCAGCCCCACGCATGGGGCGATCAGCGGTAGCTCGTTAACGGAGATTTGCCGTGTTGTGGCGTTAACGTCATTTCAACGAGATTAACGCTGACAGCACTAGTGGGAACACAACGAATATGACTGCACATTTACTCCGACAGCATCCTAGTGCAAAGACAAGTGGAAGTAGACAAAAACAACAAGCACGCATGCTACAAACTTTACCCGAGTCATTTAGACAGCCGTTAGCACATGATTCTCCTTATGGGGACCTGATATGTTTAATATGCTGCTGAGAATATAGCCCAGAAGAAGCATATAGTATAGCTTTTATTTTGGAAAGAGCCATTTCTCTGTAATAAACTCTTTTCCAAAGATGAGTGATTTCTCGATCAGATAGATTTATTATTTTATCCCTTTGTTTCAGCAACATTACATTTAAAAACTGTACTTTTGAGTTAAAATATATATTTATAATTTTAATAAATGACAAATGAAAAAGGCATGAACATTTTTTTTTTTGTATCGAAAAAATATCGAACCGTGAATTTTGTGTATTGTTGCACCCCGTGTGTGTGTGTGTGTGTGTGTGTGTGTGTGTGTGTGAGAGAGAGAATCAATCTCTCGAACCGGCAACCTTCCCAACTCTTGAGCCACGATCACCCCCATATACACACACGCATACGCACACGTGTGTGTGTATATGTGACTATGTATAGTTTCTATTATGTATTACAGGTACAACTTATATTGACTGTGCCAGGCATTGCACTAAAAAAAGTAGGAAGATGGCCGCACACTAGAGGCGCTCCTAAAGCCTGTTGATTAATGTTCTGAACCTGGAAACATACACTCCAGCTGTAGTCATAAATTGGACACCCTTTGTTGACTTTGAAGTTTTTCAAGAATTACCGTCTTTGGAAAATGGCAGGTAATAACAAAGCAAACTTTTTTTTAAGGGAGCTACCACGAGGAAGAAGCAAGCTAGCATTAGCCTCGCTCCGGAACCGCCCGAAAATACACCTGCATCTGAGGCCGCCTCTCCAGCAGTAGTTGAGGAAGGTATAGGGAGCGAGAGCAAAAAGGATGTTTTTGAGGAAATTAAGAAAATGAACGCTACTCTTCAGGTCGTAGCAAAAGATGTCACCACTATTAAAGAAGCCACTAAAGAACTGAAAGATTCGGTGGAAGATATAAAAGTGAGGTTAGGAGAGGCGGAACAACGTACCTCAGACATGAAAGATGCCAGCGTGCTTACCGAGGCAAAAGTGGACAAATTCCAGAAAAGGATGGAGGCGTTGTGGTCACGAGTGGAGGACCTTGAAAACCGTAGCAGGAGGAACAATGTACGGATTATTGGACTTAAAGAAGGTGTGGAGACACCCGGGAACGTGGACAAATATGTGACGGAGATTCTGGCCAAAGCACTTAAGCTTTCTGGAAGTGAATTTGAAATTGAACGTGCCCATTGTTCCCCTGTACCAATGCCGGAATCTAACGAGCCTCCCAGGGTGATACATGTCCGCTTTCTACGTTCATCTGCTGGGGAGAAAGTACTACGGGTGGCCAGAGAGAAGCGTGGAGTCGATTGGCAAGGCGCCAAGCTTTCCTTCTTTGAAGATGTTACAAGGGAGCTGGCGGAGAAGAGGAAGGCATTCAACCCGGTCAAGAAGCGTCTCCGAGAGCTACAAGTGAAGCATAGGCTGATGTATCCTGCAACACTCATTTTTACGTGGAACGGACAAAAGAAAGCATTCAAAGACGGAAAGGAGGCCGAGAAATTTCTGCAGGAGTCGACTTAGAGGAGTGCGGGACATGATGTAACAGATCGGAGAAGTGTATGTGAATTTTAAAATAAGGTAACAAATAAAAAAATGGGCACAACGGGGCCGCGGCGGCGGTGCTGCTATCGGACGATTAGCGTGTCTCACGGACCACGGACAGTTTGGTGTCTCAAGCTAAAGTTAGTTAGGCTTGGGTAGGAGGGGAGGGAGGGGGCGCTTAGCAACGTTGTTTTGGTTTGTTTGGGTTTTGTAATATTGAGTGCCTATGCCTATATATTTGTGTTGTGTTGTAAAGCGCACAAGGTGTGCCTTAACCCATTTCTATTAGAAAGCGATGAACAGGTATACTAAAATAATATCGTGGAACATAAACGGATGTGGGGACCCAATTAAGAGGAAGAAGGTTCTAGCATACTTAAAATCTAAAAATACAGATATAGCGTTTATTCAGGAATCCCACATTGCTGGGGAAGAAGAGGCAAAAAAGTTTAAACGAGACTGGGTGGGCTCCGTTTTTCATAGTTCATATTCGAGTAAACGAAATGGTGTTTTGATCCTTATTAATAAAAAATTAAGCTTCGTGTTGCTGAAGAAATATAATGATAAAGAAGGGCGCATTATCTGCTTGGAGGCCTTAATTAATGGGGTTTGAACAGTTTTGTGTAATATTTATGCACCTAATAAAGCAGAGCCAGATTTTTTTTTTTTTTTTTTTTTTTCACTAAATTAACAAGATAATAGGGGATCATGAGGGGCAGGTAATATTGGCTGGGGATTTCAACCAGGTGATGGATGGGATAATTGATAAGAGCAAACCCAGGGGTACGTCTACACCCAGGGACAGAGAGGCTGTTCATTTACTGACAGAGGATCTTTGCCTAGTGGACATTTGGAGGTTAGTTAATCCCAGTTCAAGGGAATATACATTTTACTCCAATTGTCATAAAACATATTCGAGGATAGATTTCGCCTTAATATCAAAGTCTCTGGTCGATTCAGTCGTCGACTGTGAGATTGGTGCCATTGTCATTAGTGATCATGCCACAGTAGAGTTGCAAATTGATTTAAACACAGATAGAACGAAGAGGGGTTGCTGGAGGCTTAACATGATGTTGTTGCAGAACAAATGTTTTAGTGAGGAGTTAACAAAGGATCTTAAAATTTTCTTCGAAATCAATATGGGTTCCACAGATAAAGTAGCCACAGTTTGGAAGCATCTAAAGCATATATAAGAGGAAAGATAATTGCATACGCAACAAAAGTTAGGAAAAGTGATCTAGAACGGGGAAAAAACCTTAGATAAAGAAATACGAGAATTGTAGAAGGATTTAGCGAGACAATACTCAAATTATAAATACCAGACTATATGTAAATTAAAATACCAGCTGAATGACATTTATAACAAAAAGGCATAATATGCCTTATTTAGGCTTAAAACAAAATTTTATGAAGGTGGCGAAAGGAATGGAAGACTATTGGCAAGGCAACTGAAGCAGCAAGATAATTTAAATAATATATCTATGATTAAGAAAGACGGCCAAGTGGTAACCTCATCGAAAGAAATAAATTCAATTTTCCAATCATTTTATCAAGATTTGTATACGTCTGCTGGTGCACTTAATGAGGGGGAGGTGAAGACATTTTTTTCAGGTCTACAATTACCTACTCTTTCTGGGGAACAGAAAAAAAGACTGGATGAGCCTATAACTGAAGAAGAGGTCAGAGCTGCGATCTCATCAATGAAGAATGGGAAATCGCCAGGCTTGGATGGCTTCCCGATTGAGTATTATAAGAAATATATTGATATTTTAGCTCCAGTCCTACATAAAGTTTACCTTGAGGCATTAGTAATAGGTTCCTTGCCAAGTACGTTTAATGAGGCACTAATCTCCCTTATTCCTAAAAAGGATAGGGATCTATTGGACCCATCAAATTACCGGCCAGTAAGCCTTTTGGGCGTCGATTGCAAAATTTTGACAAAGGTTTTGGCCTCCCGCCTGGATCAAATATTACCAGATATCATCAATGGTGATCAGGTTGGCTTTATTAAAAATAGGTCCGGGACCCGGCAGGGGTGCTCTTTGTCCCCGCTGCTTTTTACAATATTTCTGGAACCGCTGGCCTTG